ACTAAATATTGCCGACCCCGTATCTTTTTCCCACTGACGGTCGCGCGCCTCTCTCTGTCGGTGAACGCTGACACGTTTATGGGACGCCGGCAGCTAACGCGGATGGGGTGACGCCCTTGTTTTATAGTTTTGGTGACGGGTGCGGCAGCCGCGTTCGAATTTTGCGGCTCGAAATGGCTACCGCCGTTCATCGGTTTTTATATTACAACAACGGGACAATGTTTCGACGCGTTTTCATTTTTCTGCGCGGATATTCGCCGGCGACCGACTTCGTAAATCGCTGCATTGTCTTGACAATGGAAACGTAATTCAAACTGTAGATTTAAATTTAATTCTATATTCAAATTTCGGCAGAATTAGAAATTTACTTTCTCAATTTGAATTCTCTGATTTTAATTGAAATTCAAATATTCGAATTTAAATATTCAAATCCAAATTCAAAAATATTCAACGAGATGTCTAAGGTATTGATTGGGGAAAAATGAAATTTTATTTAGATATATCCACGCAGCGTTTATAAAAACCATATTTGAAAATGAACAATTTTGTAATGCAGCTTCCAATATTATAACGCAGCTATTATAAATTATGCGTAATAGTTTAATATTTCCTACCTTTGACGATGACGTTTACCTAGAAACTGAAAGAACACTGTTTAAAAGAAAAAGGAAAAAAAGTATTGGATGTGCATCAGGATCTGGAGTACCTACTGGACACAGTACGAATCAACAGCATACTTAATCTCGAGTATCACTTTTTATTTAATCCTCCCTCGTCTCGTTTCTCTTATATCTTCTAAGCCTTGACAATATTTACACAATTTCGTTTCATTAGTTCGCCTGTCGTCTCACTGTTAGGGGACGTAGAAAAATATGACGGTATGCTTAAAGACTGATATATAATATTTATATATACATATAATATGTATACGTATATACAAAATGTACAAGTGGGGGAAAACGCGATTACGAATGCCAGCGTTTATTCTAATTAACACGCGATCTCGCCGCCGGCGGAGATTTACGCGTGCAACGAGCGGAACGAACCGATTTCCTGGACACCCGATGAGAGACATTTATCTTTGGAAAACTCGACCGGTCCCGACTTTAATAGATCAATTCGGACAGGAAAGAAAACAAGTGTAATTTCCTTCGTTGTCCATTTGGCGGTTACCTTGATTAACCTCTCGTCGAATCAACTGTGATAGATCGAACGATTCCATCGATATCTTCGTTTTTACCGGACGCGTTTCGCTCACGATAATTGGTACACGTGCGCGGTCTCCCGGTTCGTTTGGCTCGTTCTCGCGGTGATCCTTGCCTCGCCAGGAGTAACAATAACAACAATAACAAGAATAATGGCAACAAAGTCTCTCATAATGTTGTATAAGAAATATATACACCCACGTCGAAGAGAGCCCTCTCGATTGAGTCAGTCCGGCTTCCGGTTGTGCCTCCGTTCAGTACATCACCTCGTATACGGTCGCTTTCTTGTCACCGGAACCAGTCACGATGTACCTGTCGTCCGCGGATATGTCACAGCTAAGCACCGAGGACGATTCCTTCGACTGAAAATAACAGGAGACACATTCCACGTGAACAATCTGACGCGATTTATAGAACAACGCGAGAATCTGCGTATATAATGGTAGTTAAAGTCGTACAAGTTCTTGCATGAACTATCGAATAATAGTGTATTTACCGGAAAAGATAAGGAACACATTTGTATCAATATCAAACTTATTTGTTGGGTTCATAGGAAACTGATGTATTCCTAATATTTTATTTTCTTCACTGAAAGTAAAAACGAATAAACTATATATATATATATATATAGTCCTTCATAGGAGGAGTGAAATTTAATTTTCCTTTCCAACGTTTTAATATTTCGCTGAATTCATCATTTTACTTGATTGAAGGAAACTTTAAAAGAAACCAATATGTAATGCGAAATAAATAAAACTCAGTTATCCGATAGATACATTCAGTGCTGCCACATTTATAGACGTCCTGAACTCGACTGGAATCGATTACCAACATTTAGCAATGTGAACGTCAATCTAGATTTTCAAGAATATCTAGCTTCCGGTAGTTACTGGAATGATGAATGATGAAAGAAATAAAGAACTTTTTATATGATTGGAAACTTTGATTGTCTTAATATTTATTAAAGCTTAATGGAATAAATTTATGCTGGTACGAGGAATGTGAAACAAAGTTTGAAACCTTTACGGAATGTCATATCCTTCCTTGCGTATCATGGATTATAGTCCGTTGCACAATAAATTACAAACTCATAATACCAATAAATTGCAACATAAATTTATCATCATTATGAGCGTCTACTGAACTAGTGCATATAAATTCTCAAAATTAAACGAAGCGTTTAATAACCGTTAAATCATTATTAGATCCACGAATAATAGGAATATTTTCAATATAGAGAAAATAGCAATGATTAATAAACTATGAATCTTTACACAAATGTTCATTTTTTTGAATTACCTAATAACAATCGAACTGGAGAAAGAATTCATCTCGTCGGTTAATACATTCCGCGCAACAAAAATTAATTAAAAGTACTACGATCATTTGTCAATATAAACATTCTTTCCCGTTTTATGCATTTGTGAATACTAAAACATCACGAAGGTCCCCAAACCAGTGGTTATTAATTAAAAACCGGCTAACAACGAATCAGAAAATTTCTCACCTGGAATATCGATGCTCCGTAGGGCGTGCGCCACGCGTTCAGAAGGTTATCCTTGCCGGTGGAGACGAACCATTTGCCGCAGGACGCGAATCTCAGTGACAACACGCAGGATTCATGCAGATGAAGCTGATACTTGTCCGGCTTGGTGGCGTGTAGCACCTCGACGTTCGAGTTCTCCATTCCAACCGCCAGCCACTCACCGGTCGGGCAGTAGCCGAGGGAGAATATCTGCGAGGTAAAGTCGTGTTGCTGGAGTTGTCTGCCTTCCCGAAGATCCCACGAGCGGACCGTGTTGTCCAGGCCACCGGTCCACAGTTTCGAGCCGTCCGCGGATATGTCAATGCAGGACGCGCCGTCCGTGTGACCTTGGAACTGTCTGATCAGCGTCTCATTCTGAAGATCCCAGACGGCGATGTTGCCGTCGCTGCAGCAGCTGAAGCAGACTTTCGAGTCCGGCGAGATGGCGAGCGCGTAGCAGGCAGCGGCGGCCGAGGTTAATTCGGTCTTGATCCTGGGTGTTGGACCAGCAAGATCCCAGATACTCAGCCGACTCGCCTCACCGCCAACTATCAGGGTCCTGCCATCCGGTAACAGCTTCACTGACCTGGGGACGAGGTGTGGAGACTCTTCTGTTAGATTGTTCTTTTCTTGTTCAGAAGTGGAGTATTGTAGGTATTTCAGGTATCTCAGCTGAGATCTATTTTTGTGCAAGTTGCCGACCGTTCCAGTGATCATTCAAAAATGTAACTGGATAAGTAGCAAAAGTTTAATAAAGAAGAGGAATTAAATGGCTTGTAGGTTGAGAAAAGAGGAGGAATTAATGGTTAATTATCAAAATGCGATCTTGTGGCACTTAACTATAAACTGTAGCATTACTGGGAATAGCGAAGTCTTCGGGTAACAAGGGGTTTAAGTAGCCGTAAAGTAACTAAGGCTTTTACGTTGCAAAACGAAGGTAAATAAAGAATTTCACGGGCGAGCATCGTTCCGATATGTAACGGCGCGTTATAAAATCGTGCGGTCCGCCCGGTTTCGCAGGTTATAAAAATGATAATTATTTTTGCACATCGCCGCACGGCTAGATCGAGCGTGAGCGGCAGCCGTGATTAGCAACTGTGGCTGATGGATGGATCATAAAGTACCTTTTAATGTGGGGAAGCGTGCATTACCGGGGGAATGTATTGAATTTGCCGGTGGACGGACACCCGTGTTCAAAAAACTCGCGGAGGTTCAATTACCGGCCGTATCGGCGGGCATTAACAGTCATACGAGACCGATATTATTCCGACGTAGTGACGGTGAAACGTGCAACGCTCGCAAATGCATCGTAAAAATGTCGAACATCCCGTTTATTCTATCACCGACACTTCCACGTGATTTTTCAGCGTTCCACACGCTACCGGGGAAATACCGGAACGCTCGACGCGAGATCGCGATGTTTCACGCGTGGCTGAACGCTTTCTGCTCGTAACGGTTTCACCCCTCGCGCATTCAAAAATAAAAGGAAATTGGTAAAAACGTTGTGAATATTGTCGACTCCAAAATATCGTGTAATCCCGCGATGTACATGGAATTCAATTTGCAATTTATTACTGGTTTGTAATATATAGAATGGCGGTAGTCCAAAGTTTATTTGGAACCGCAAGGTTTTTGTGATTGATCTCTTTGCGCTGCCCTATTTTCCTTTTTAATTTTCTCTTACGATTGGTGGGAGTACACTAAAATATTGCCAGCTTTAGAAACGTCGAGGGATATCAGAATATTCCACGATTTAATCCCACTTTGGAATAAGTAAAAGAAAGATAGAGGCCCACGCAAACATTTATTAGTAAATATAGGAACGTATGAAAGGAGATTTATGCATACGTGTATAGAAAATGAACGCTCTGCTAGCGCGTGACAAAATCGAGCCGCCATTGGGTCGGGGGTTGTAAAGTTAGCTAGTTAACCCCTTGCTTTATTACAACGAGTCAGACGATACAGATTTCGATCAGACTTCACTGTATATATATGTTATTCATCCTGCACGAGACCAAGTTTCATACCGCTTGACATACCACTGTTTTTTCTTAATTACCTATTAAAATGCCTCAATTTCAAGACGTTTTCCTAACTACTTCGTGTCGGACAATATCAGTCTTTGATATCGAAGGGAAACAACCACGATTGAAACAGGATAAACTCTCAATTTCTCGAAAGTAACCGAACTAATTTATTAGAATCAAACTTTCTACTATTTCACCGTAATTACAGAAAATACAATAAGACAAGAGGTTAACGAACTAAAGTACTCGAGCGCCGTAAAAATTTTGAATAAATAAATTCACTGATGGTATTAACAATTAATAAGATTAATTGAAAAAAACGAGGTTCACTGTTTTAAATAGGAGAACCACTGACCTGATGTAGTGATCAGGCTGCAGACAGTCGAGCTGCGATACGGACTTGCTGCTTCCTGTGCCGCCCTGCCCGATGTCCCAGACCTTGACGCATCCTTTGCCGCCCGTGTACACGTACTTGGTTGGATTCGAGATCGTGACGGCGCACACGACCTCCCCGTGGCTGAGGGTATTAATTTGCCGCGCATGACGCGGTATCCCCTGCGCGATCAGCGCATCCGGTGGGAAGGGCACCGGCTGCATCTGGCCCTCGCTCGACACGTGGAAGCTGTACGCACTGGAACACAGATCCGGAGAAAAAAATGCGACTCGTGCGGCGAACAGGCGTGTTTACCACCCGGCCGATAGGCCGCCTACCCGCGAGGCAGATCGCTAATCTGCACGACTAGTCTCTCTCTTGCGCGCGCGAGCTTGTTTCGTAGTCAAGCTGCGTCCAGCACATAGATTATTCATAATTCAAGTATTAACGACGATGTTCATAAATTCAATAGTATGGTAATGAGACTGTAACGGAAACAGTAAAAACAAAATAACGGTCTTTTTTAAATATTTTCTTTCCTAATGTAATACGGCGCAACGGCGTAGTAATAGTATGACGATCGAAATAAGAATAGAATTATAATTTCCTTTTAATCAATAGCTTCAGACTGTAGCATCGCGGAGTTTGATAAAATGATTATAACGGATAAACTATATTTTCGACCGTGGTAAATTAAATAAAGTGCAGTCAATCGTGGGATTCATTAGAATAGAAGTATAATCGGGTTTACAATGCGATGGAAATACAAATGGGAATGTATTATTAAAAAGTTTTCTCGAAGTGCGGTAATACATGGGGAATACTATATTTGTACCTTCAGAGTTCATTTAAATCTAGTTTCATTCCACGAATAACGTCGAAAGTTTAACAATCGATCCACTGCTCACTGATTCAGGAAATACACGTCGTTTCATTGTTCAGCCGGTAAAATCCCAAAAAATATCGTTTACACTTTGAGGAACGTCGGAACGAAAATGTACTTTGATGCATGAATAAATAAAAAAGGTGGTTAATTTGAGGTATCGATCGAAAGCAACGTCACTCTACAATCGCGTCTATCTATGCAGTTTTTAGCGGCGTGTATTATCTTGTATATTAATGGACGTTGGAAAAAAGAGGGGAAAAAAGAAGCTTTGTTACATACACTGTGTGCAACATTTCATGTCGTATCGCTCTTTATCTTCGCCGTTAATCTTGTCGCACCGATATTTGCTCTAAACTAAAAAAATATCAGTAACTCAGCGCATTCTAAACGTTCGCGGGCAAAATAAACAACAGGGTCACGGAATTTTCATGGTAAACAGGAATCGCAGATAAAACGTGGCCCGATCAAACAGTATTCATAAGAATGTTATACCAAGATCTACATTCGTTTGATTATCTTCCTTGAAAATTTGAAACGCATGTTTCCACTTCGTCTCAGAATGTAAAAATATTTCGTGGATATTCAATTGAAAGTTTTAACTGCTGAATTGTCGCTCACATAAACCTCATATAATCGAAACAATTTTCTTGGTGAAACAGAAACTGAAAAGTGAAGATTTTCCGTAGGAATTGCTTTCTTAACCTCATGATTGATGATATTATATCAGGCTCGTGATGGAAATTTTAACCTAAATCCGACAAATCTAAATGTTATTTATTTGTCTGAAATATAAGTTAAATGTTTCTTTTCTATTATCAATCGTGAACGTCTGAAGTAAATATGGTGAATAAAATAAATAAAAAATTCTTTTTTGTTAATAAATGATTAAGGTTAAAATACTTCTACCAAGCACAGTTATGAAAGAAATCATAGGGCAAGGGGTTAATCTTCTTGCAATTTAGCAACCTAAGAAAATTCAGCTTGTTCAAATTGTGTAACACAGCAGTCAAAATATGGGTTAAGGTGTGAGCGTGTGAGTCCGACTCCGATTACTTGAAATATTCTTCGGTCTACTGGAATCTTCCACAAGCTGCGCAGAATATCGAGAGGATTTATTCGTTCAGTTTAGTCGCGTCTATAAACGCGCTAAATATATTTAATATCCCTCGTCCAATATTATACGACGCGCAGTCGAAACGTCTTATCTTAAGGCACCGACGCATTTTCGATCTACAGGAAAGCAAACAGCTTGTAGTTACTTAGCCTTCGTTCAATTTAGATTTGTTTGGAGAACTGGTTACGAGTCTCGGGACGCACGTCACTTGCCAAACCCGAGAGATATCGTCCGCATTGAACGACAAGGTAAACGGAACACCTTCGTGTATGTATAGCCGGGAAATGATCTACATTCTCATCGAAGCATCGGCCTGGACGTGAAATAGACGACGCAACGCCTTGACTGCCCGATTAGCAACAGTCTCGCTACTTTCGAATTGTAATGCGATACGCTTTAAAAAGAGTACATAGCTTCTGCCAGCGAGACATGCATCCTATACATTTACGATTCACATTTTACCGTGTAAATAAATACATATTTCATTTCGATCGTATCTCCGAGAAAAACTTCGTAATAGATAACAAACAATATCAAATGAAAACACCGTTCATAGTTTTACCAAATGTATTAATAGAATCAAATATCAATCGTAATCAATTCGAAAATAATATAAGGCACTTCACAATACACGATTTACTAACAGATTAAGCATCGCATAAAAAACAATTCAAAGCGTATAAAAACAAACAACAGATTTTTCCGTTTGAAGAAAATAGAACTTTTTACCTACTACAAAAAGCTAATGCGTTTTTATTCCGGAAAAAAATTATGTAAAACAGCTCGAATGATTTACGCTGATCATAAAACGTTCATGCGTTTCATCCGTATAAAAACGTCGGTGGTTCGGAGGAGCGACAGTAACCGGGTTCAATCGAAAAGGATAATGATTCCTGGAGGGCGCACTGGAGATGTGTACTCACGGTTTGCCTCCGGGTACTGCGACCGATCCCATGGGAGTCCTCATCGCCACGTGGGGATCGTAGAGCTGCGAAGGCGGTGCTCTAGGCGCCACGTAGCCGTTGTAGCCCATCATGTCGACGTGAGGATGTTGGCCAGCTGGTGCCAGATGGTGAGACGGCGGCCCCGGAGGATAGTGAGGCAAATAGGCGCTTGGCACACCGGGAGGCGGTGGTCCCTGAAGTAGCTTGCCTGAAACCGAGGGTTTCAGCCCGCCACCGCCGATCGCCGAGCCAGACGTCGGCGTCAAAGGCTTTGAGATCGGAGTAGTCGGTTTCTCTCGTTCCTCCATCTTCTTGGCTGACGGTGTGCTCGCGTTGCTACTCGTTCCACTCCTTGGCGAATGAGGTGGCACGTCTTTCTTGGTCTGTATTCCAGTACCCATGGCTGGTACAACCTTGTCCAGACCGTTTTCTCGGGGTGACGTTGTACCGTTTACTACTGGGCTGGTTGGTCCCTCGCTGGCATCGTCCACGACTAGATCCTGATCGCTTTTCTCACCGTCGCTCTGTCATTCAAAGAATAATTAGTTAGGACGTGTGGTTTTCATGTTATTTTTATTGCAACTGGATGTCACATAAATCGAGCGCAAATATTTGTATTTTGAAGTTAAATAGTGAAAATAGAAGAAAATAGAAGTAGGAACATTGCCACGTGAAAATGATTGATAATTAACAAAGGAAAAAGTGATAAATTTAAAATTGCATTTGTAATTTCATGTTTGGTTTTTAAAAAGGTACTTTCAGCTGTTTATAATTCGATTAAAAAATTAGTAAACGATTATTGATTTTAGTACTCAACATTCACAACCTACAACGAATTTGCGGAGTGTATAACTTCTGACTAGTATTTTGTAATTTCTAAAGTCTGATTGAGTTACTTTAAACTTAACGGGATGAAGGATTTACTGCCGCCAGAGAATGTTTGTCGAACACACATCGCAGCGTTTGCATATCAAAGTTACATATTGGTGAAGGTAATCAGCGTTATCTTATTTAACGTCTCGGATGCAGTTCAATGCTTCTTTCACGCCAGCGTTATATCAAAATAACAATAATTGCATCATCGTTGTTGCGTGGCAGTCATGAATTACAACAAGTATTCAACAGTTTATCATCGACAAACATAAAAAGGTTTCAAAAAATGCCTTAAACCGTTCACATCTCGATGCCAAGTAACCAAGGCATAGGTCACGTACCAAGGTCTTAACTGCGCGCAGCCATTAGAATTTTAAATCGCTCATAGTCGATGGAAGCGAAATTGCAACGATGTAGTTTATCACGTCAAGAGTCATTCTAAATTCTACACTTTTTTGCTGCCGTTTAAAAAACACACACTTGCAGAACTAAAAAAAAAGTAAAAACAACACTACAAGAAAAAATAATTATCTCCCCGCAACGGATTAATAGAAGGATTAACAAATTTGTACCGCAAAGGGATTAACAGTAATCTTCATCGGATTGGGCATTTTTACGTATTCATAGGAGATTAAAATGAAAAACCGCATAAAATGCACGCGATATGGAAAAATATATAAAAGCACTGAACAACCTAATATTTGTTAAGTAACATCATTCCCCGTCATGAACTTACTCCTCTAATTACACCATTAAAAATCTGAATTTACGGATTAATTGATACGCGAAAAGATTGGTAACGCGTATCTATCATTCTAAAGTTAAAGGAAGAACGAAATAGAGATACTCACGTGGCCGATGTCTTTGTCCTGTTCTTTTTTCATTTTCTTGATGTGCATGGGATGATCGTGGTGATTCTGAGAATGATGGGTATGGTGGGTCTCCTGCGGCGTGCGGGGACGACTGTATTTATCACCGGGCGATATCGAGCTCCTCTGTAACGTGACGAATATTACGGTTCGCGCGTAGCTCGGCACACGGTTCACGAGCTGGAACGCGCGTGAATAGATCGCGAGCACGATTCGAGGCAACGCTCGATCGTATCGGCCCACGGAAAAATTTGTTGCTGCGGGAGGAGGCGACCGGGGAAACGAGTTTTTGATTTATACGAACGATTAAACGGACCGGGAGCTTGCGAAGAACCACGCTAACGACGGAGGAAGACACGCGTTCAGCGAACACATGACAACTATACCCAGGCACTCGGGCAGGCCTCGTTAATCTCCAGTTAAATAACAGAGAACCCGGCGCGTACCGAAACAACGGGTTACCCGTGTGTTTCCTGCGGTTCGATCAACGTGACAAAACCGTAATTACCTGCGTCGACGGTTATTATCAATTGTCACGCGAGCCCGTTCGCGATAATCGATTTCGACTTGGCCGCGCGGCGGCCGCGCCGTTTCAATGCCACCGAAACGGGATTATCAACGATTCTGCGTTCTTCAATGGTGTATCGACGAGACGGTGGCTGAACACGACCATGATGATTTTCGAACGATTTTGGCTGAAATGATACTTGATGGTATTAACCCTTTCGCTGCTGACGGTGGTTATAGCCAAATTTTTCAATTATTTAGCAAGTTTTTGGAGCTAACTTTTAAAATTGAATCGTTCTCGTTTGCAATTTGCTATCATCAATCGTTAAACCGAAACCTCTCCAAACGCGAGCAATCTGGGCTCAACCACGAGCGACACCCAGCCCGAGTATCATTCCCATGGAGCTTGTTTCGAAATTTGTATTTTTATGCAACCGGCACACGACATTCGCGAGCAAAGCGTTTAATTCCCGGGGCGAAGGTTAATGTAATGAACGGTGGACAACAGCTTGTCACGAGCGGCGAGGACTCCGAGGAAACGAGCATTAAGGGGACGGCTCGAGGCGTCTGCGTATAGCGCGCGCGACGCATAGAAAGAGAATTAAAGGAAGCGCGATACACCGAGGACCGGGTAGAAGATCAAAAAAACGGGAGGGACTAAGAGAAAGAATGAAAGAAAGAACGACAGGGAGAGGTAGGGTGGAAGGTGAATGGTTTGGGAAGAGGTTGATAATGATTATAGAGTCGGCAGAGCGCGGGAGAGAACGAAACGAGGAGACACACGCACGTAGCCATACATAGAGAGAGCGGACACTCGCCGCAGCTCGCGCACGAACACACAAAGAGTGGAGAGAGGACAGGGACGAGAAAGAACCGAGGAAACTGCCCGAGGATAGGTCGAATAAGGAGAGAGGAAAATAGAATGGCGAGAGGTAGAATGAGAGGGCGTCGATGGGCGTTTCGCGGTCTCGCGATGATTACAGGCTCGGCAAACCTATAATACACGCTGCTATCTCTGCCCTCCACCCCACCTCTTTCTACCTTCCTCTTCTTTATGACTGCTCCGGCTCTTTCCATTATTTTTTTCTACCTACCACTCTCCTCGGTGTCGGTCCCTTCTATCCGTCGTCTACTACGCCTGGAACCGGGCCGGTTGCTCTCCAAGCCGCGAGAGAACCCTCCTCGCAAGAAGATCGTTACTTGCATTTTCTACGGACGAAGAGAACCGTGCCCTCCCCTTCGGCTACGGGGGAAAGAAAACTTTCTGGGCGATGGGGATCATCGGGACCAGGACCGACACACCGGACCTTATCCTTAAAGCACCGATACGATCGAGCCTAGTATTCGCCCGTAATTACTTTCGTTACTTTATTGTTACGGGATAGCCGGGCCGGCGCGCGGCTATCGATCCCGACCCCCTTCGGCGCGATTCGACCACACGGATTTTAACGGATCTTTAATTATTCGATAAGCGGACGAGGATTATACGACAGCGGAACTTGGAGGAAATTTGTACGCGAGGAGGGTGATTTTGACGAAGTAAATGTTTTTAGTGGAACGACCCTAAACGAAACCTGGAGTTATTATATTTGATTATCATCTACCGCCGGAAGATGACCAACCGTAAGCTAAATATTTTAAACGAATTTTTACTTTAGGAAAGCAACTTTCCGAAAGAAACAGTTTTGCAAGTTGACGTTAAAGGAAAATTTTCTTTGGAAAGAAGTTCCATGTACATAAAGTAGTGTAAGAACGTTAAAATTAATAACTTTTGCACAGTAAGGTATGCTGTAAGTATTAATCGTACGGATATTACCACTTTAAGATGATTCTGAGTCAGCTTTCGTTAATCTTCACATCAACTACCCCGTAAATCTTCAACCCCTTTTAAAAATTCTATGGACGACTATACGGCGTCAGTTTACCTAACATTGCATTTGAGGAAGGAACGGGAAAGGGGAGAACAGGAAAACCGACTGAGTGCGTGTTTCCTCGAGGATGGAGGACGCTGAAAACGGGGAAAGAAGAGTCAGCACAGTTCTTAGCAACGGTTAGGTTTTTTCCTCG